AAATCTGTTCACAGAGAAAGGCGGAGCTTAATTCTTGCAGTCAGAAATTCATAGGCCTGAGTCCTAGCAGGTCACTCGCCTTTCATTCTTCAGGTGTAAATAAATGAGTACCATTATGCGGAAAGATGGCAGGAAACTAAATTCTGCAATGGCCACTGAGCAGTTGGCACTGTTTTCAAAAAAAGTGTGGCAGTTTTGACCGATGTGACTGTAACGCTCTGCAGATTCGTATCATAAGCTTCATTAAGAAGAGTGTGATAAATATACTGTTTCTCAGCTATGTGTACGGGAAATCGATATCTCATGGTGCAAGCTCTCCCCTTTTTATTTCCTATGCAAAGATAAAATTGTCCTATTTGAATTTTTACCTTCAGATAGGTAATAATTTCGAACCGCGATGAGTTCATCCTGTAATCTGAGAGGCATACAAGACGCTTTAGATAACTGCTGCACATTTTCGATATGATACACGCACTCATAGCAATTCGTCTTGCATCTTGTAAACATTTAGCAACAATGCGGAAAACGAAAAAGATAACTGCTCGAAAGCAGAGATCAAAACATAATGTCTAGTTAGCCTAGAAAAATGCAAGTAATTCATTCAATTCACTTGCAAGTTCGCAGAAATGCTCTTTGAAAGGCAGAGCAATTTTGCTCATTGAAAGCGATTTACTTGTTTCCTTTCGCAAATAAGAAAAACTATTTCTTCAAACAGTGATAAAAATGGTTAAGAAAATTGATCTTTATAAAGACATTAGCTTCTGTACAGGAGACAATATCGCCATATTCAGCTGTGATTTCATCGAGGAAGGCAGTGGAATGCGTGTAGTTCAACTACTGTGGCAGTTCCAGTATCATCATAACGCAATACAGTCCCTAATGATTAAAAATCAGATTTGGATCAATCACAGAATCATTTTGTGACATCTTATCCATTGATTTTGGAAACAAAAATTTATAGCTTATCTCGAAGAAGCCAACGGCGAAAACTGTACCCACCGCTTGGACTTCGAAACATTCCAAGGATAAACTCAGATCCAATTGCTTGACTTAGTAGCGAACGGAGCTCCATATTTCAAACAAACGTGCGCTAAGTCATGAACAAACGCGTAAGCTTGTATAACTGATATGGCGACTGTTGACCCATCAACAGCGGCAAATACATTCAC